ACTTTCTCACCTTTTTCGTTTGGTTTTTTTGGATGGATTATAAAATAGAAAAAAGTATAAGTATCTTATTTTGTAATGTTCGATTGTCTACTTTGTAATTAATCTTACCAAACATGTGTACGTCAATCGATAAAATAATTCCTTTCAATTAGCTTTAGCTACACGTCAAAAGATTAATGTTTATAACATAATGATATATTTATTTTTCATATAGTAAAAAGTAAACATAATTTAAATAGGATTAGAGGATATTAATTATTTAGAAATATATGTTATAATTTAATTAAAATAAATAATATATTAAATAATATCCGAGAATAAAAACAGAGAAATATTTGATAGATATCTTTATAAGTGGTGCCGTATTGACTTTTTAATATAATTTTATTAATTTTATAGGATGCCTTAATTTTGTCTTCCGTTTTTTCATGTTTGATTTTTTTTACGGGTTATAAAATATTAAAAAGTAAAAGTAGTTCAATTATAAATATGATAACAATTTCAACAACAATTAAATGTTTAATTTTCTTCAAGTTTATAACATATTAAATTACAAACCCGCATATATGCATATCTTTAATTTAGTGGTTAATAATGAAAAAAACTATAATTATAGCACTAAATAATTGTTAAAAAGAAAAAAAATCATTGTGACATGCTAACTACTTCCTGAATTTGGTTCACCAAAAAAGTTGCATACAGTAGTGTAACAAACTGCATAAAATTTGGTGCAACTAGTGGATCTTCAAGATTGAGCATACAAATATTGTAAACTTTCTTCAACCAGTCCAAACGATTTTTTCCATGAGTCCAATTCAAATCAGCTCTAAACTGTTCATTAATATTCTTAAGGATGTTTTTTTTGGAGACAACTTAACAATCTTTTATCTTCGGTTCTTTCTCCATAATTACTCGTTGAAATAATTAATTTTCTGAAATACGAATCCTATATTGGAAACTAATAAAAGAGAGGAAACATAAACTCAAGAAAGCATGACAGTGGCATGATTTTTGTGGCACTGTCATGGCAATAATGATAACATATGTAGTTGATCCCAACATTGCACCACCTTTGAATGAGGAAAACAAACTCCATCTTTCTGCACTTCAGAATAAATATTTTCTCTATGGATGGATTGAAGACTTCAACTGATTTTGCTAATCTTCTTACACCACCATATGCGGAAGAGAACAATGCATACTACTTTCTTGTGTTTTTCTTCTAGTCTTGATCGAAAGTAACTCCTCTTTTGACCCTCTTCGTTATACTTGTTTTATATACTCTTTTGATCCTCTTCGTCATACTTAGTGTATACGTGCACAATGTAGTCTAGTTTTTGGAGATCTCATTACTATCACACCAAGGCTCGAATGGCACATAGAGATCATGTTAAGAGAGGCACCTAAGGCCTCCATTTAATAGTCTTCTTCCTCCATTTCACCCCCTTTAATTCAGCATATATGTATATGTATATAAAGCATTTAACGAGGTGTTGGTCAATATATGTATCGCATAAATACACTAGTCCAGGTTATCAAAGTTATTAGCGGAAGAAGATCCTTTATTCCATAGCCTCAGAGACATATATATAGTTACAAGAATATTAACCTAACCTAGAAGAATTAGGTAATTACAACATAAGCAAGTCCACAAATAATTT